CTGTTCACGAAGTCGGTGACAGAAAAGGCGTACGGATATTGTTTCCCGTATATTGGCCTGTCGTGAATAAGATTTATTTCCCCCTTTATGTCTGTTCTAAAAGGAATTTGCATATTTATCTTTGAATGCTCTTTTTCAATATAGAGAACTATTTTTTCCTTTAGTCCGTCTAATTGATCAGTACCTATATTGTTTATCTGTTGTTTGTCGGATAACTCAACGACGGCGGGCTTGAAATTTTTATATTTCAAACAATTTTTATTTATTTGATTTTTGACGGTAATTACTTCGTCGGCACTCTCAGGATTTTGAATTCCCAAGATAATTGTATTTTTATTGACGGTATTTACTTCGTCGGCACTCTCAGGATTTTGAATTCCCAAGATATTTGTATTTTTATTGACGGTATTTACTTCGTCGGCACTCTCAGGATTTTGAATTCCCAAGATAATTGTATTTTTATTGAAAATTAATTTCTCACGAGACTGTCCCGATGGGGTCTTCCTTCTGCGAGGTTGTAGGTTGATCTTCCTTCTTTGTTATTTTGGTCGTAGTCGTGTTGAATTTTGGCGAGGGATTGCCCTTCAGCCCTTCCTTCCTTCCTTCTTTGTTATTTATTGAAATATACCAGTTTTTTTTTTTTAATTATTGTTTAATTATTGATTTTTATTTTTCTTTCTTTTTTAATTTGTTTTTTTTTGTTACTATGTTTTAAATATTACTTTTTGGTTTTCACTGAATTTATTATTTTGTTTTTGTTGTGTGTTCTTGCACTGTGAATTAATTTATTCGGTCCACCTTTATTATATTTTACCAGCTTATTTAAATGGATTATTACATTAATTGATTTCCATTTAAAGTTTTAAATCACGATCACTTGTCACAATGTTATGTGTCGTCGATTTATGGTGGATGTTTTGATTTTTCCACTAAAAATTTGAGTTTTTGGCTGCTCGAGTTCCTTTTTTAAATTTAATTTTTAATTTTCATTAAATTGTTTTTTTAGAACTTTTGATTAAGCAGCCCCACGTTGGGCGCCAATTAAATTCGTCACTGGTAATATTTAAAAAAAAAAGTTTTATTATTTTATTAAACTTGGTGTTAAATCTTTTTTTCTTCTTCACTTTTACAAGACACTTATTTATTATTTTCGAACCGATCGCGGTCTTGGACAAAATAGGACTGAATCTTAATTCTAAAAAACTCTCCAATGAACCTCGGCCAGAAGCTTTCCTTTTCTTAAGCTTCCAGAACTTTAATTTTTGTTTAAAATAAAAGCTTATGCTGAAACTGTCGCATCTCGTTGTGAAATGAAATTATGCTGACCGATGCAATTTGATTGAAAATCGGAACGCAATATGTTCTGAACTTAGAACGCAATACTGTGGGCTTTGAACGGAAAAGTTTGGGCTTCGAACGGAAGCTTGTGTTTACTTTACGATTGGTTTATTTATCTTAGCAGGACGGTCAAGCGCGGCCCTCGAAGTAAATGGCAAAGGCAAAGGCAGAGTCTTTAAACAAAGGCAATGTCGCTGAAGGCAAGGGTAACATAGCTGAGATTGAATTCAAAAATTTGTTTATAAATTCCATAAGTGGAACCGTTTCACGGGTTGGATAACTTGCATGCTCGAATTTTACCTGCACAGTCAGCCATGCACAGGAGATAGTTTAATGCGCCCAGTCCAGATACCCTGCCACGTAAGGTCCAGATATCCTGAATCAGGACGATGTCTGCCTCATACTCCGCGATTAGAAGCAGAAGTGGTGCACGATCCCTTCAACCACGGCTGTGTCAGCTTTTAGATCCAATACAGAGGGCGAGTCGTCGTTGACTCCAACACCTTGCATACCTCTTGCGAGGTTTTTTTCCTTCAAGACATAGTCGTCAAGGGAATCGTCTTCGGTGTCCGATGGGTCCTGTGCCTTCTCGTCCGCTTGCAGGGCTTCCCCTGTCTTTACAAGCTGACTTCTGGCGTCATATAATAATATTGTAGTCCTCAAGCGTAGCGTAGCCTTAGCTGCCTTCAGCCAGTTACTGACTCCTTGTTTAACGAGAGGATTACCCATCTTCTTGCGCTCTCCGCCTCTTCCACTTTCAGGATTTGCCAATCGGTGGTTGGAAGAACCGGTTTACAGCCCTTGAGCATATTAGGGATCCTCTCCGGCTCTGCTGGTTTCTCCGAGAGCCTTACCCTAGCTGTGGGTTTGCTTGAGATCTTTTCCACCAGCCTCTACCACCCCCATCCCTACATAATGGATGTGCGCCGCTGTCTTTATGACTTCGTCTATGAACCGGTCCTGCAACTAGCTAAGCACGCAGCGCCATTTGTCCTTAGGGATATGGTCATCGATATGGGACCTGTCAAGAACCCTCTTGGTTGGCGCTTGTGGCAGGCTATTTTTTGGGGCCTGCATACTGGGGTCCAGTTTGGCTACAGCTTTCATCGCCGCAAAGTTTTTAAGCCCATGCAACGAATTTAAAGAACTTAAAAACAAATTAATCAAAGCGACTGACCCTATTCTTAAATCTTGCAAAATGTATCCTAATTGAACATATACTATTTTAAAAAGGAAGGTATTTTCTAGCGATACTATCTATACTACTATCCGCCAGATTAGTAGAAGCGGTCATCTTTGATAGCTCCATTTCGCTCTGCATGCATAGAGCATTCTATTCTACACCCAGCTTCACAAATACTTATCCGCGACGAGTGAAGACAGCTGTTGAGCGCCTCTGCTCCTTGAGTCGCATGGTAAGCTTTAACAACTAAGATCTTGGTATAGTAAGCTGTTCATTTAATTATAAGAACGCAGGCGAATCAAGGCCGATAAGCTTCAATCCCAATTGCGTTTTTGTAGTCCGCCGGTATGACCCAATTGCATGCAGTAGAATTGCTTTTTTGCGCGCGTTATCCATTCTAATAATAATTATCGGCTACAAAATAGCATTGACCGCTTGACGGGTTCGTAGTCGGAAAATCTTTCTAATTATTGGTGGTGATGTTGTGCTTATGAAGAGGGGTTTTAAGATTCATCATCTTAAATCTGTCTACCGCCCACATTATTATATATTAAAAAGGCGTGTAGGTGGCGCTTTAGAATCTCGCTTTGCATATTGATATATGTTAATATATTAATATGATGTGGTGTAAATGTTTTTGTGGGCCGTCGTACGAGTATGTACTACTGTGGGAAAAAAGTTAGGTGATTTTGTTTTTTTTAGATTTTCGTTAAGTTGCGCACTATGAATTCCTTCCACCCAACCAAACTGTTAGTAAGGAATATTATATGAGCGTTATGCGATTTATAAGAATTAATAAAGACAATAAAACAAATTCGCCTTACTTTTTGCCCACAGTAGAATTCCGACAAGCGCAAGGAAACGCAATCGAGCAGTACACGGAATTCCGTTTCCAGCTCACTTACTTCGGTATACAACTTTTTTGGGTTAACTCACGCATGGACACACTAATCCATTTAATTTCGGGCGAACACAGAAAACCAAGGTATGGAGAAAGAGCGATGTAGATAGTATCTACATATCATTATGTCAGATAACCAAAAGAACTTTAAAGAAAGAAAAAAGACTATGCGAAGGTAAATTGTTTATAATATTTATCATATCGAAGCGTATCGTATCTAAATTTGCATACTTTAGGTAAGGTTTGGATAAATTTCTAGTTAACTCAAACTGAAATTTGATTTAACCAATTCCAAAAAACCAAAAAACCAACCCAAAAATAGTATCTAACTTTAACTGAAATTAATTTTTTGGATATCCGAACTCGGTTTTGATTATATTCGTGCAGAGCTCTAATTTGAATCAAAAAATACAGAAATAGCTGTAACAGAGTCTTAAGATAAATTATTCCATTGAAGCCACCAACAGAAGGCAGAGGTAAAATGATGGCAAGGGCAATCGAGCTCTTTTTAAATTATTTTTAGCAGACTCGGGCTCCTAAAGTGTATTTTAATTTGTGTTTAAGTTAGTAGTAAGAGGCCAGTTTACAGCCAAATTATAATTTAGTACTTCAAATTTGCATTTTCCAGAGCTCGCAAATAACTGTCGACCTTTTCTCGTTGTCTGCAAGAAAGTGTCTTTTCCTGACACTTTACGATAGACTCAGAGAGCAACCGATTTGTGGGTTCTTGAAAATAAAATATTTTCACTGAAAAATTGCGCTAAAAGAATCAGTAACTCGAAGCATTTATGGGTTCTTGAAAGTAAAAGAATAAGTAACTCGAAGCACTTATTGCTATAAGACTGGTCCAACAAGTAACTCTCATGTACTTACAAATTGAATCTTGATATTGATTAAGAATTGACAAGCCTTTGATGGAATAACGTTTGAGTAAAGTGTAATTAACTGTTAATAGTTTCTGAAATTACTTTTTACCAGGTGAATCACCAGTGACAGGTCATTTATAGCGCGTGACGCGGTCTTGAAACTCGATATATAATCCTAAACTTTTAACTTTTTTTATCTTTGAAACTTAAACTATGTTAATTTGAAAAATTCCTCATTTTCACACCACCATAGAGGTAGAGGTTTTGGAACGTTTTTTTGGTTTCTTCAAAGGACCTATTCCTATTCAATGCAAATCTTTTGCTCAACTCTTATCTTTTAATTTCCAAATTAAACAATTCCTTCAAGACTTTCCTATAAACGTTTTTTTTCCGATTTTCTCAATTGCAAAGTTTTCGAGAAATTATGCAAATTGTGAAAATTCTTTTTAAACTATGGTTGCCCCAGTATTAGGATAAAAATATATAAAAACTTAGTTCAGCTGCAAAGTGTACATGGTTAGGAAAAAATATTTAAATAAAATTTTATCAATTTGATTGAAGGTTTTGGACACCAATATTTTCGTTTCAAGTGGAATACGTTTTTTGTTTTAGTTTTAAACCTGTCTTTATGACATAAAATTGCGGATATTGCTTTTGGACGCGAAGCACCGCATTTATGTCAATTTAATTTTATTTCTTTGTTGATCTACAGAATACGATTATCCCCTGAAAATTGGGCGGTATCAACTTTATTTTGGACGTCCCCGACCGCGATTTGGACCGATACATCTTGGATCATCGAGTTGTCGTTAACAGGTGCAATCACCACGGGCACCACCACTGGCATCGTGAAAACAATATATATACTTCAACAAAATCCTTGCTGTTAACTATTACCTAAAACAATCCTTGCCACACAGGGAGTGCTTTGACGTATTGCAAAATATCACAAGGAAAGAAGAGCACAAAAAAAAAACAAGGAAGAACGCTATAGTCGAGTACCTCGACTATCAGATACCCGTTACTCAAAGGGAAATGGAGATATGCAAGCAGCAAAGCGAAATTAAAATGCGCCACCTACCGGCGGTAGACAGATTTAAGCGTTATGGGCGTTAGAGTGGGCGTGGCAGAATTATTTTTGGATCAATCGATAGGTATTGACGCCACCAATACATTTCAGTTAAAATTTTTTATCTAGCATGCAAATTGTGGGCGTCACAGGTTTTCGCGGTTTGTGGGCGTTTAAGTGGGCGTGGCTAACTTTTTTTTAGGTCAATCGATAGGTTTTGATGAGAACAATACATTTCAGTTAAAATTCTATCTAGCATCAAAACTGTAGGAGTTACAGTTTTGAGCGGTTTGTGGGCGTTAGAGTGGGCGTGGCAGTCTACTGAAACAAACTTGCGCTGCGTTAGAAGCTCAGGAATCTGTACGCCAAATCTCAATAGCCTAGCTCTCATAGTTTCCGAGATCTCAGCGTTCATCCGGACGGACAGACAGACGGACAGACGGACAGACGGACAGACGGACAGACGGTCAGACGGACAGACGGACAGACGGACATGGCTAGATCGACTCGGCTAGTGATCCTGATCAAGAATATATATACTTCATGGGGTCGGAAACGCTTCCTTCTGCCTGTTACATACTTTCCGACGAATCTAGTATACCCTTTTACTCTACGAGTAACGGGTATAATTAAGACAGGTACGCATTTGCCAAAAAATTTTGATTCAGAAAAAATTTAATTTAAGAATACCCCGTGAGCGAGCAATGTGCAATAAAACAATCAAACAGAAGAAAAGTATTTAAGTTGCTTATTTATATTATTATATTTATTCATAACTCCTACATCTAATAGCGTTTTAAGCTCAAATTAGTGACCCCTTTAGTGTTCTGAAGTATCTCCATTTAAAACAGATATCCTTTTAAAAGAGACGTTTAGCCGCTAGGGTCATAAACTATCCTTGCCCCTTAACAATACCTACCCCACTCCCCCAATATTTTGAAATATATGTTGCGGTATCATCTTTATACCACCGAAAACCGTAGCCAGCGGATGTGTTTATGCAAAAGCTCCGGAAAAATTTAAAAAAATCGGAAATTGCGGATAAAAAAAACGATATATGCTGCAGTAATCCAGTATTAGCGTAAAAACGCTTAGTCTGTTTAAAAAAAAAACAAATTAATTCTTTATATAACTTTTCGGGAATTTGGAAAAGTTTTAACACACATACTTATTAACCCGCGATATAGTAGTTCAAAAAATTCCGGCAAAGAGCCCAGCTCTACTGACCACCGAAAGCCAGAGAGCACGATCTTGCTCTCCCGCCCTGCTCACGCTTACTCCTACGTCATGGAGCGAGCAGGGTAAGAAACCGCCTCCGCCATCGACCCCTGGTACACAAACCTACACTCGGAAAAATAATCGGAATACATTTTAAGTCGCTATACTTTAAAAATCGCCTTACAATTCAGAAAAGATTTCTATTAATCAGAAATGTTTTTCTAAAAAAAAGACATTTTTCCCCTGACAATTCGGTCTCCTTTTTCTTTATATTTTTCTGAAAATTTTCTTTGCATTTAAGAAAAAAGGGGCTATTAAAATGTGAGTTTAGAAATTTTTACCCTAAATTTTAGGGAAAAAAGGGATGAATGTCGTGTGCCAAACTTTTTTTAAATTCCCGTAAAATTCGTGCAAAATTCTTGTGAAGTTCGTGTGAGTTAAAGTTTTAACAAAGTGGACACACTATTAAGCCAATTGGAGGGTCAGTAGTTTGTTTAACTTCTTAATGGTAAGTTATTAAATACTAAATTTCCTGTTAGCATGTTGTAATAGTATTTAGAAAATACCCGCAAGAAGCAGAACAATTTTATTTCATCAGCTTTGTCTTCTTCTTCTGTTTAAGAAAAAGTTGAAGACTATGTATGTATGTATTTGTGTAAGAAAAGTACAATACATACATAGGTCCTAAAGAACCCTGCAGTTCCACAATTGAGTTAAGCGCCCAATCATCACGAAGCCGACTGCGACGTCGGCAGAGAAGCCAGCGACGCCGGCAGAGCTGAGCGCAACGGCGGCAAAGCGACGCACTCTAAGTCAGGTCCGCAAAGAGAACGCACAAAAAGTAATTTTTGGGCTCTTCCTCTCTCGCCATGTCTCAGACGGAAAAGTGCGTGTGAAGGGAAGGAGGCCCAGCAACTAAAATATATAGACTTTTGTGCACCCTTGCCTTTTGAATAATGCGACATATGTTCGTAAATGATAAAACAACCATTTAAAATAATAGGTTTCTATTTTAAAATATTTGTATTTCTTAAAAAAAATGTATAGGTTTATTAATATTATTTAATAATATGTGAAGTTTTAAGAATATATTTTTATAAACCGATTTGCATAGTCGGATATGTCTATAAATACCCTGCTTTTATGTGCAAGATGCATAGACCAAACGGGACATGCCAAAAAAACAGAACAACAACGGATTAGCGGAACCGTTGTTGTTGTTGCTTGTTGTTTTTATGGAAGGCACGCGTCTTTTTTCGTCTTTTTCACTTGCGTTTACTTACGAGTATGTGAAGGAGTTAGAATTGCACGCAATTACGTAGTTAAATAAAATAAACCAGTGGTTTAAAAGTGATACCTATACGATTCCCAGGTAAGTCTGTCGCAGACCATTATTTATTTAATCAGTGAGAGTAAAAACAAGTTAATGGGTATTAAAAAAATGGAAAATACAAGATTCCCAAAAAAACACGCGGCGGAAAAAAAATAGCTGTGAAAAATTTTAATTTTTGACGTGAAAAACAACAAATGTTGCATATAAATAAACAAATGAAAGAATCTGTGAACAAATTTGAAAATCTTATTGAGTGCTAAGTTCCTTGGGACCAAAAATAAGAGATGTTTGTTTTTATAACTTATGATTTTTTTTTTTAATAACATTAAAGCACAATTTTTATTTTTGTGTAAGTAAACAAACATGGCTATTTATATAAAAATCTCAAACATCTATAATTTTCCGTTCCTGGAAAAGTGGTATTTTTTCCGCATCTGCAAAATAAATAAATGATTTAATAAATAATAAAAAAAAAACATAAATAATTTTTTACAACAAAATAAAATAAATCAAGTGACCGAAAACAAAAGTTTGCTAATTTCTTCTCGATATTTTTTGCATTTTCTTATATTTTTAGACAAGGCTGAAGGTAAATCTATAAAAAAATGGAAGGCTAAATCGTTCCATCTTAAGCATATTATCCGAGGAACTTGTTCTGTCCCACAACTTACTTATTAAGTAGTTTTTATTGAGGCTGAAAGTAACTATTGTTTGTAAGTTTAATTTTTAAAAGACTTCTGGGATTTTTACATTGAATGCCAAAGATAACATTTCTTTTATTATAAATAAATCTTACAAATAACGATTACTTTCGGTCACTCGTTTTTATTCTCGTCTTGTTTTATTTTTAAAACTAATTTTTTTCTAATACTAGATGCAATCGCCCTGGTCGATCCCTCGGAGCCTCCCGAAAAGGCGCTGCAGAAGGCAATGCGGTGCGTTAAAAACTTGAGTTGTACCAAAAAAAGGCAACGCCGGCACCAGATGCTGAGGAGGAGGCGCCAGCGACCCCGATAACACCGGAAACCCCCGAGCTCAAATTTTAAAATAAACAAATAAAAATAAAAATTACAACTGAAATTTTTTTTGCTGCTAAGCGCTCAACGTGCGCTGAAAGTGCGCTTTTTCGCTGCTTGAATGAGCGCTCAACGTGTGCTGAATGTGTGCTTTTATCGCTGCTCAATCGAGCGCTCAACATGTGCTGAATGCGTGCTTTTTCCGCTGCTCAATCGAGCGCTCAACATGTGCTGAACGTGTGCTTTTTCTGCTGCTCAAAAAAGCGCTCAAAAGGGTGCTCAAAAAGCGGTCAATGCGTGCTATTTTTTGAGCACTGATGAACCCTAGGACATGCCTATGTTAATTTAAGCACTTAGTTCCATACAAATTGTGCGCTCATTGAGCGCTCAGTGATGAGCTTTTTGCAGTGATTGAGTGCTCAATAAGCGCTGAATGGTACTGCAGGGAAGTTACATACATATGTTTTATTGTAACATGCTTTTTTCATTGTGTGACTGTTTGCCTTAAATGTTAATTTATTTATGTAGATTTACAATTTGATCAAAATACTCTGTTGCACACGGGAACAACTTCGATCAGAAATTCCGAAGGAGCTAGTTGGAGTAGGGATAGTTATACCCGTTACTCGTAGAGTAAAGGGGTAACTAGATTCGTCGGAAAGTATGTAACAGGTAGAAGAAAACGTTTCCGACCCCATACAGTATATATATTCTTGATCAGGATCACTAGCCGAGTCGATCTAGCCATGTCCGTCTTTCCATCTGTCCGTATGAACGCTGAGATCTCGGAAACTATAAGAGCTAGGCTATTAGGATGCATGCAGATTCCTGAGTTTCTTGCGCAGCGCAACATTGTTTCAGCAAGGTGTCACGCCCTTTCTAATAACCACAATCCGCCCAAAACTGTGGCTCCTACAGTTTTGATGCTAGAATTAAAATTTTAAATTAAAAAAAGGTTGCCACGCCTACTCTAACGCCTATAACCATATATTGAGATTGCGGGTAGGTGGCGCATTTCAATCAGGCTTTTCTGCTTTCATATCTTCATATCCCTTTGGTCCCCCTAGCTGAGTAACGGGTATCTGACAGTCGAGGCACTCGCCTATAGC